AATTTTCATTCCCCTATCGTTCAGCAAGGACACTTGAAACGCAGCCTCGTCTCGCGTCGATCCAACGCCCGTTTCTCACATCCTCGAATAAGGCAATAAAGGGCGTGGAGAAAACGGTTTTTACCGCGTGAAACTTGACGGTGGATCGCGTGACCGGTGGACCGTCGCCTGCCGCAAAAGGGGAAGCGAGTATTCCCCGCACGGTAGTAGGTAGCACGCCGATCCGGGATGGTATAAGGCATGAGCCATAAGCCACAAGGCATAAGGCATGAAAAAAAGGCGGTGGTTACCGGAGGGACGAGGACAGGGTTCTAGAATAGCCCAGCCGAAGGGAAGCCCTTGTGTAACCAACGTGCAACCGATACTTGCTCGCAACGCCTTGCTCTCCCCTCAGGTTATACCCTCCTCTCTCTCCGTCTCTCTATTTCACTCTCTCTCTCTCTCTCTCTCTCTCTCTCTCTCTCTCTCTCTCTCCGCGATACTTTTTCCACGGTTCTACGTTCAGGGTTTCACCTAGGCCGACCTAGGGACCGGAATCCACTCGGGGAATGGAACTCGCAGGAACGCCACCCCAACACGGATCGGAACACGTGCGTAAAGCAGATACGCGTAATAGCGTTACCTGTCTGTCACAACCCTCTTCGTACCATCGGTCTGTCTTTTCCTACTATTCCTTGACCCTCGTTATCGCCGAGGTATCGTTGTCCCGATTTCGTACCGATATCTGGGGATTAACCGGGTGAGAGAGAGACGTTTGCTACCGTTTGTCGTTCAGTTCAGAGCTCTCGAGGGTGGAGAAGGATAGCGGAGGGAAGATTCGATGAATATTTCTAAAGTTTCCTGAGGAGGAGGCTTCACAAGTGGAAATCTTTAATTTAACATCTTTCTTCCATTCGAAGTAGAGTGAATAGACGCGCGACTATTAGAAAAATATTCGACGATGGGACTTTTATTCTTGCTCGAATAGAATATTTTATTATCGGCAAGAAATAGACATTTTTTCCTTTTTCTTTTTTTCCTTCTTTCTTTCCATATGAACGATACTCCTCGTCCGCACTCTATATACCCTTCTGCTAACGATTGGCATTTACATATGTCCGTATATAATGGCAACTCGTATCGCGCACGATCCGTCCACGACTTTCACTTTTTTTGTACCACGAACTCGTCTCGTTCGAATGTATTAAACGTTGCTGGCTGCGAGGATCCGATGTAAAAGGCTCATTAGAGGTGTCAACTCGGACAACGGTGCCGATTATGACTCCTCTCGACGATAGACGCGTCACGAGGAGACGGAGAGACGACGGTTGTCGGATGTTTCCACGCCGCGTTTCGACGCGGCTCGTGAAAGAGAGGCCGCGCGCGAATCCTCTTCATATTATCCCACGTATAATACAATACGAGTATGAAAGATGGCTCTGATCCTCCCTCTCCGAATTCCACGCGGGCACAGACTTCCGCCGCGAGGGCCGGCCGATTATTTTCGACCCTCGTTCCTCGAATCGGCCCTCTTTCCCCGTTTCGTGAAGCGAAGCAAACCACCATCCGTATACGCGCGCGGATACGCACGAAAGAGAGAGCAAGGAACACGAAAGAGCGAAAAAGAAACTCGAGGAAGGAAAATTAGACCGATATGAAACGATAAGAAGACTCGATAACGCTCACGTGTTCAGAAAGAACAAAACGAGGCGACGAGCGTATTAATTCCAAAACGAAGTCAAACGCGAATTTCGTATCCTTCAATTCGACTCTTCCACCTCTTCTTATTCCTTTTATTTACCAATTTCTTTTTCTCTCTCTCTCTTTTTTTTTTTAACTTCTTCGCCAGTGGGCCTCACACGCCGTGAAGTAGGCAGTAAACCATAATTTATTTGCGTTTACCCCTGCGAAAAAAGAAGAAGTCGACGGGGAGGGAGAGGGAAGAGGGGAAGAGGTTGGCGGACAGTGGAGAAGAGGATAGGAGGGAGGGGAGGGAAAAGTACCTTAACGCTCAACAAGGCGCTTTCGAACGTGATTATTCGCATAAATCAATAAATAACTCGCAGCCAGGCCGCACACTTGCCTCCCATTGCCCCCGCCCCACCTGGGAGCAGCATTTGGCATACATTATCCCGCCATCCCACATTAAGGAGCCCTGATCCCCGCGAGCGACGATATATTATCTATCCCGCTTTTGGTGGCTGGTCCCATCGCGTAATAATGCGCCTAATGTCCCGAAAGTTGGTGTATTTGGTCGGCACCGGTCCACCGTTTTCAAAGGTGAAAACGGGCCCCCGGTTCCGGCCACGATAAATAAGTCGGCCCCGGTCCTACGTACCGGCAATCCCGCTGATCATCGAATTATGCTAAACACGCACCAGTGATATCATTTGCTTATCGTGGCAACCAACATCGCACAATCACGATACCCTTTTTTACAATCCTCCCTTTTATCCTTCGATGTGCACGATTGCGCTCGAGATTTTGCTCGAGGAAGATGTTGAAAAAATTGTTGCACGATTTAAAGCGTCGTCTCGATTTCGCGAGAGCAGCTGGCTCGAGAAGATTCAAGTTTGAGAACGAACCCCGTTTTCAGGAAATTGACGACAAGTGGCTTGGATTACGTGGGTCTGATTAGGTCAATGGGAATGGTAGCGTGTTTTTAAGCGGTATCGTTAACGAGGATCTATTAACGGAGCTCGTGCTCGAGCGTTTCGCGCTCGAAGGGCGCGAGATTTCTTAATTCTTGATGGTAAGACAACTGTGAATAATATGCGGGCAAAAAGTTGGTTAATCGGGTGACGTGGATTCTTTCTCGTTACTATCTTAGGGGATAGTGAATTGCTTATTAGCTCGGTTTCACGACAACCGAGGCAACCGAGTTTCAGAGTTATCGATGGTAATGATTATTAAAACGATTTTACGATGTACGATAGAGGGAGGCGTTCGTGGTTCGTAGAGGAGTGGAGGGAGTTTAATGATTTATCTTTAAACATAAGGGATCGGTTACGCCGTACGTCGGGGATTAATCAAGGGAATCTATTAATATCTATGAATTATTCGTTTTAGGTTAGAGTTCATAGATGATTCCAGAGGATTCCAGAGGAATGGCCTATGGCTTCTACCTAGACACGCCTATCTGATCGGCAATGCTCCCATCGTAAATATTAATCGAGTACATACCAACAGTGATGAGGTTAAAACGAGACTATTACGGATTAATTGATATGCGCGCGATTTTTAATAAATTGATTGCTAAACTAGGTTTACTTATGCAATTGCATCTGTTGATATTATTAGCGACGGTCACGAGTTAAATTACAAGTTGCCAGAACTAATAAATAATATCCTCATATACAACGGTGTTTGCAACGGTATAAATAATATTTTACAAGAAAAATTTAAACAAGGTATCCGATTATTCGATATTTTAATTCATCGTAAAATTGGATTAAGAAAATCTATATACTTCGTTGGAATCATTAATATTATTGGGGGGGAAAATTCATTAGAGAATCGAAGTGAAAAACCGAGTCTTGGTTTAATTATTCGCCAAAAGTGGATCGGATGCATCGTGCAAAGTTCCCTTTGATAATAACGAGTAAAATATTCATTAGAAAATTGCAGAGAACGAGTCAACATCACAATCCCGTTTCATAATTCACCGACCAGTTCTCGTGTACGTACAACCGATCGATTAGCCAACGATTTTCTGCAAACGTCCTCTTCTTTCTTCCCCATCACCGTCTCCATTTACGGAAGAAAAAGTGACGCAACCGCCTCCGGCCAGTTTATAGAGTCCACGCTTGAACCGCATTTCTCGGTAAGTTCATTTATTTCGTCGCGTGTCGTTGTAATTTTTCTGCGTTGGGCAATCGCGCGCCCCGTATCACCGCGTCTCACGCGACAGTAAGTCGCTTCTCTACCCGTATACACACACACACACATACATTTCTCACCTTCCCGAAATGCGAAACAAACGGCTTGGTGATTTTTTTTAGACTTACTCTCCACACCGGGTGTCGAACGAAAGCGAAAACACGCCGGTGTACAATTACTTTATCGGCAATTAACGCGATGTTACCCGGTGTAAATGCGACGAGGAGGCAGAGTCACGATCGGCACGGTTGACTTTTAAACGACTTCTCAGGGACAATTTCGAGGCTCGATTAGGCAAGAGACGCCGCGATTCCATCCCGGCTCCCTTCTTTAATATAAAAAACTCTGGGTCGCGTGATTCGCTCGTTCCTTACGGTTACGGTCCAGGCCCCCGTATTTTCTTTACTTCGACAACCGCACGACGGCCACAAATAACGGTCGGTCCCGAAACTTTCTCGCGGTATGTGTGTGTCTCTCTCTCTCTCTCTCTCTCTCTCATCCATTCGCTCGCCTTCCTTCGTACTAAGATGCGGTTGTGTGCATGCTAGTCGAAGAGAACGAGAGGAGTGAAACGACCGGCATACTTTCACTTTACGCGCACGAACGGACGATAACTCGACCGTAACAGGCGGATGAACGCGTACGGGAGGACGCGATTCCGCTTACAAGTTTGCAGTTTAACGACGATCCAAATGGCCGTGTTCTATATTTTCGACGCAGAGGAGGCATTCGAGGAGGAGGGGACGACCAGGATGATGCCGACGACAACGTTGCTATCGCGAACGCGCCTCTTATTCCCTATTTCTTTCCTTTTCTTTTTCCTTTTTCGTTTTATTTTTTATTTTTATGGCGTTATGTACGATTCAAAGGCACGAGGGGACGCTGACACGGACGATAATCGCGGATCTCTGTTCCGGTTTGTGAAAATCTTGGTGGGGTGTCACCGGTTTATTGCGGATCTCGAGGCGTTCTTTCTTTTATTGATGCGTTTTAAGAGTTTCGGGACGGGGACATGGATATATCGTTTGATATTTGTTGGGTGGGGGAATGGTGACTTCACGAAACGTGAATCGTGGGGGAATGGTATAAACGAAGATGACACGCGTCAAGGGAATCCTAATCGTATTGGATGGCTGGCTTACCGTCGTAACTTCATCCCAATTTTATCTTCTCTTCTGCTACTTCCATGGAAGGCTCTATCCTCCTCCCTGTTACGCAGGTGCTTGACTAGTTGCGTTAAACGAGGCTCATCCGGCGTGTCTACGAACTTATCCATTGGAACGAGCGGGCCACGTGGACTCGAGAACCTGAATAAATTACAACATTCTGGTTACTTAAATATATTCCAACTATAACAACTTTATAACGAACTGTATTTCGAGAACGATCGGTATTTTCTAAATGTTAATTTTCCTATTAATTACGATCAGAGACATTTCGAGTTGATAACAGTAGATTAAAAGAAGAAATCAGGCGACTTGCATGAATTAAATAATAACATAAAAACGCATTAAAATCAGGTAAATCGTTTTATTTAATTTTCCAATCACAATCGATAAAAAAACTCGACTTCTCGAACGGGCCAGATGCACCGCGTCACCGTTTCTCCTCCTTGCCCACGTAAAAAAGAAACCACGTAAAAAAAGGAAAAACGATTCAGCGACAAAAGAACAAAAGGCGTGGAGCATAAACGCGGGATATTCCCGTTGGCCGGTCCGCGTCATTTGTCAATATTACACCTGAACACCTGCGCCACGCCGCGTTTTCTAGCGATTCCTCCCTGTGCCGCGGTCATTGATATGCAAATCCAATGCTAACACATATCAGTTTTCCAACGGGTTGATTAATGCGCGTCCGGTGTTTTTCGACGAACGCGCCACGAATGCCTGGAACCGAGTTCTCCGCGAAGGAGGTGTCGACCTCTACGGGCCACGGTTCCAACCAACGTCCATCAGCATCGCGAGAAAGAATTCTTCAACTATGTGACCGCTCTGTTCCTCTCCAAGGAGCCAAGGAGAACGGAGGGGCGACGGAGGAGGGAAGGATGGTAGGGGAAAGTACAGGCACCTAGTAAATACCTGTACTAGCCGAGCAGGTCCATCTCGAGTCGAAGGCAGGCCTCTCCTCTTCATCCTCCTCGACGTTTCTCTCTCTCTCTCTCTCGTCCACGTTCGTCCACGCTTACCGTTACGTGGCCATGTATAGCACACAGGTTTATTCCTTCCTTTTCATTTCCTTCGTCCCCCTCCCCTCGGAAAACTCACAAGCTCGAGGTGTCGTTCGAATACCTTTCTACCGAGGATCGACTCTGAATCGATGATTTCTCATCGCTGCAGACTCTCGACCCGGCATTCGAGGATATTTTTGCGGAGGGGATCGATCAAGACGATCAGGAAACCGAATGGAGATTGAGAGATAGAAGGCACGCGGTATAGAAGCTTCGATGCATTCTGAAAAACTGTATAATCGAATAATACTCCGATACCGTGTGCCGAGCATAGTTGGAAACAACGTTGGAGACCGTTGAATTCCGAGTAAAGTTTTTCCTCCGACCAGTCCACTTGGAAGGAACGGAAAGTCCGTGAGACGTATCTCTTCGTTGCACGTCCGCGGTCAATAGCGTCACCTTGCCGAGGCGTAAATTCCACGAGGGGGCCTTCCGTTCGCCACGCGAGCAACGCTCGGCTCGCGCCATCACCGAAGGGACAATCGCCGGGACAGGACGCGGACAGAGTGACTGGTTGCGTAACCGTGCAAGCCCCCGCGACAATATCGGCCAGCTCGCCCGCTCGCCGTTTTAAACGCGATTATTTATGTCCGCCGTGCGTGCACATACATGCAAAGTAAGTGGTGCGCGCGGTTGAAAGAGAGCTTAACTAACCTACCGTACTAGAAATATGCCGCGGTACGGAGCGGTGTCACTCGTTCCACCGTATATAACGAGGCGACATATAACGGCGGGGCCGTGTTCGAGCAAGATCGAGCTCGCGGTAGAAATCGCCCTCCCTTCCTCCTCTTCCTTCCAACTCCTCTCCAACACAGGGGTTGCTCGTCCATGCGTGCTTACTTTCGCCATACCTCGTCCCCTCCCTCCCCCCTTCTTCCTCTTCCCCCTCGTGCGCACTCACACATGCGCCCATTGTTATAGCGATCTGGATACGCGATGCAATAATACGCTTTCGAACGCGCGTAAGTTGCAAGCGTGAGCTGAGCGAGCGGTGTCGCGCTCGGTTCGACACGAGGGTAGAACAGATCCGTGGAACGGGAATTGGGGAGAGGAAAGTTGGAAAAAGATAGAGGGGGGCAGATACGGAATAAGAATAAGAGGGGCGGGGTTAAGGGGGAAAGGTGGAGGATGAAAGAGGCTCTCGTCCAACGCCAGGGGTGTCGCTAACAAGACACGCACCCCTACCACGATGGGGTACTAGGAGCACGAATACACGCTTATAATCCGCGACGTCTGTGCGCCCGCATTGCGTGAGTAACCCGCAACTCGCTGCCTACCTACAACCGTGCGTGTACGCAACTCGACGACAGCCATCCCCTAATGACTTATTAGCAACCGCGCGTTAGTTAACGACGCGACAGGATTACTCGCCGCATTGTGACGGCCTCTCTCTCTCTCTCTCTCTCTCTCTTTCTCTCTCTCTCTCTCTCTCTCTCTCTCTCTCTCTCTTTTCCTTCCCCTGTTTATTCCCGCCTTCCTTTCCAACGCGAGCTCAACGTTCTTCCGTTTCTTCTCCCTCTGTTTCCTCTTCTTTGGCCACCGCTCTTTTCTCCTTTCCTCTTCAAATCGCGTACTCCCGCGTGTCCTTTCGCCTTTCTCTCCCCGACTTTTCCACGCGTTCGTTCTCTCCCTTCCATCTCCCTTCTTCGTTCTTCTGCCTTTTATTTTCTGCCCCGTGTTCTTTTATTTTTATTTCTTTTTCCCTCCCCTCCCATTTTTCTCTTCCTAATAATTTTCACGCGACACGCATTTCCACGCACGGCACTCGGGCGTTTCCAGGCAGGTAAGCAGGCAGACGCCCGGGCAACGCACTCGGCTCGCCACTTTCGCCGGGAATGCGTGGGAGGCTCTGAAAGAGGAGAGGCTGCAGTCATTCCTCCTCGCATCCATTAGGGAAATTAATGATTTTTAATTTTCACTCCCTCGGGAAAGCCTTCCTTTTATGACGCGACACGCGTGAGAAATCAGGGACAAGCGATATTAATTATCAAGATCAAAATATTTCGAGGAAATACATACAGATTTTCACTCGCAAGGTACTAGAGATATAATCACAAGATTATTTAGCAGCTCTATCTTTGTAACTTTCCGATGAGTGAGCCGTCATCGGAACGTGTCATTTACTTAATTATCCCCGGGTCGTCGCTTGACCCCTAATTTGCCACCGGAGGCAGATAGCGAGCCTCGACATCCTTGCTACCTTGATTCGCAACAAAGGAATCCCAAGGAGCATTTCCGCGCGACATCAGCCGAGATCTGTACGATCGATCGCTTGTGGATCATTACCGTCGACACACGTCGTCGTGATGCTCGCCACTCGTGGTATACAAACAGGCGGCGCAGAAGGGTGAATCGATGTGGAACGATCGATATCGTTCGAAGCCATCTAATTACGAACACGGTCCCACCTAGGGGTCGGCATTCCTCGCGTGACGATTAACGATTTGTAGCTCCTAATGTTTGGATTATATCGTACCGACCTTCTCTCGACCAAAGCTTCTCTCCTTTCATCGTGAACGTCGTCTCTCTTTTCTTTTCTTCGCGTTCCATGTACTTTCCATCTCCCCCCTCCTCCTCCTCTTTCAATCCCTCTTTACATTCTCTTCCTCGCCTAACTACTCCGCCTTTATTACATTATTCTTTTTGCGCCATTCATTCCTTAAGCTTCTTAAATTCACACCATTTCTCTCCTGCGCCTCAATCCCATCCACCAAGCCTTTCCTCTTATCAACGTTGAAATTGTCGCATCTCGTTCCATCTTTCTTCCGTTAACTTTTTGTTCTATACTCTTGTTTCGTTGATGCTCTTGTGCATCTTTGCATTCTTTTTTATTTTTATTTTTTTTTTTTTCCTCCCTCTCGAGACGTTAATATTTTCTTTTTCTCTCAATCTTATTTTTCTAGCATGACTACTTCGTATTTCTCCATCTTTTATTATTTTTTTTCGTTTAAGTTAATTCTTTTTTTCTTTTTCTTTTTTCCTTTTTTTCTCCATTCCTCCTCTGCTTCTGGATCCCATATACCTGAGCTCTCGAGGTATATACCGCTTCCTTTCCCCATCCTCATCCCGTCCCATTTCCATCGGCTTGCTATCTGATTTGAATAATTCGATGCGTCAACATGCTTTAGGTGTATCATACCCACGCGCGGCTATGACAGAGACCGGTACACACGTGGCGTAGTCAGCCTCGCAGGAAACGACGACCCTGTTCTGCTCGAACGCTTCGTTCCTCTCCTACGTCGATCACGTCGCGACGCCAATCGTATACGAAACTGCTTCTCGTTAGCCGGAGGAGGAAAAAAACGTGTACCAAGTCAATCGGTAATCTCTCCAACGTAGATGATGGTTATCGTTTTCTGCTTCTGTGACATCGTTTCCTCTTCCACTGTCTCTTTCTTCTTTTTCTTTTTTTTTTTTTTCATGGAATCTAAATCCTTTCATTCGTTTATTTACTTCTTTTTTCATTTCAAAGATATTTTATCTTTCGAGAATCGAATTATTTTTACATAATAAAAGATCGTATTTTTTGATTTCGACGTTGGTTTGAAGAAAAAAGGAAGACGTACGATTAATCTTTTTTTTTAAAAGAACGAAATTTAGGGATCATTTTTAAATTGATTTTTCTTACAAAACACAAGATAATCACGTCCCTTTCGTGTATCCTACGATTAATTACATTTTATCGTAACACCGAAAAAAGAAAATTAACGATCAACATCCAAAGAACATTCTCAAATACTTGAACGTTTTTCAATATTCTTAAGAATACAAAAAGGGGGGAAAAAACCTATTAAACGAACTACTCCTACGCGAAACCGCAGCACGAGAGACGATTACATCTTGGCTCGAAGTGATAGTTTCATCGCGTTTGTTTTCTTCCCGTCTTAGCTGGCCGCCGTTATCGCGATACAATTACTTCCCACGTTGTCCCCCTCCTTCCCCCCCCCTACGTTCTAGCACGAGTTACAACAACAATCGAGCGATCGTACACAACAATCTCCTCGAGCTCGAGGAAATCGCACGCGCGTTGAATCGCGCGGAAGGATTCGTGCCGATTCTTCCGACGCGAGGAATGTAAAT